GGTGATCGAAGTTGATCTTTTGTCACTGCACAACCGCTGTTCCCATCTCCCAAAGTTACGGTGTATTTAGGATTGGATGAGTTATGGACATGGTGGGCAACCGTCGGTGGTTCATGTCAGTCAGTCAGACCCTTGTCTGCAACGTTTTCGATACTGTGAGAATATTTGAGCTTCAGCGAAGAATAACCTGAACTCGGAGCAGAGTCTGAGGCACTTGCGCCATATCTTTTTTGACTGTCCCTGGGGTTTTCCGGTTGGGCAAGTAGTTGCTGTTTCACCTTTCTTTTTGAAAACCTTCGCAAGAGCTGCCTAAACTGTTGCAGCTGTGACTTCTCAATCTGGAGATGCTGCTGCTGAAGCCTAAGGCTTTCTCGGATACCTGTACTCCGGAGCATGTCGAGACGCTTGAGCCAACCGATTCATCTCAGAAAGCCAATTTCAGCAGCTCGTACCCGAGATTGAAGCTTTTCAGTCGTGGTTCACAACTCGGGATGAAGATCGACTTGTGCACAGACAGCCCTGTTTTCAGACTCAGCTCTGACCCAATCAAAACGATTTGGGTTAGTTCACACAGATCGCTGCTGGCCGTTCGAATTCGCCAGTAAGCACGACCCCGAAGCACGTGAAATTTTCTACTTGCTCCACCGCTTTTCCTTTTATCTGCAGAACGAAATGGGCACAAAAACGAGAAAGCACTAGGCTTTTCGTTTTAGATGCGCACTCAAGTATGTCAGACACGTCGCCCTCGGCTGCGAACCTCTCGTGGCAGCAGTCTTCATCAGTTTCGGAAGATGGCAATAAAACAAGGTCGTCGGCAAACAAGCAAACGGCAACCTTCTCGTTTTCACATTCCTTACACGGATGCATTCATCGCTTTGGCTGCACCTGACTGTCCTATCCATGTACAACACAAGCAGAAGAGGGTGATTTATGCCCTTATTTTAATTTAGTTGCCAACGTTTTGACAAAGCAACATTGACCATCATCACCACTATTTTCTCTGATAATCATCATTGTTGTTTGATTAAATCAAAATCCTTGGACATAAAGCAGAAATAAAGACCGCAGTCACTGTCCGCCCGTACTACGTAAAACCATTGATATCCTGGCATCTCAGATGGCGTATTTAATATTTTCTGGTAATTTTTTGCTTCACTGGCTGCATCTGCTTTCCATAATGGTTTATTTTAGAAATATAAACAGCGGATCCGAGAAGTGCTTCTGGGTGCAGGATGGCATTATCCAAAGCTTTTGGGATGCGATTGGTACCTGGAACAAAGCTGCGATGTAAGATTTCAACGTCTGTTCTATGATATAGTGGTTATGCGTGCCGTCCCATTAGCTTGGAGATGAATGGAAGCATCGAATTTATCGAACTAAGAGTCGATGCTCTCTGTCGTATGCTTTAACTTTCATGTATCTTGATGTTGTGTCGTTGATGTTTCTTTGACATCCGTATGTAATTTTGAAGCTTGTTCTCAAAACCACTTTGGCTTCAGCTCGCCTAAGAGACAGTTATCAGTTATCTAGTCCAAATTTTTTTACCACAGTAAATCACAGTTTGATGTTTTTGTTTAGGTCGTACAGTGTACTTAAGCGTATGTCTTCTGCGCTGATTCTTGATCTATTAAGATGTGATAATGTTCATATTTTAATATCTACAGAGCACTCAATTTCAAAGCTTAAGCTTTTTTGCCTAGAAGCACTCTATGACCGGCTATTTAGCGTGCAAAAATAGTCATCGACATGCTCTTATTTCAATCAAATGACTCATCTGACAGTTTCATAACTTTTTCGACAGTATAAGTTCAGCCTTGTCCATTGCAGACAACGTTATCAGATAAGTGCTTTATCAGATGTGTTATAGCAATAATATCTTATGAAATTTATGCTGATTCCACGTCAGAGGCTAAGAAGATAATCGTTTCCGTCTAACCATAGAAGCACAACGGCTTTGAAAGACTATGTTACGATGCGTTGATATTTCAGATAAAATATCTGTTTTGCGAATCGTCCGTCTGTTGACTGATTGACTTTGTGGGTATTCGTTTGTAAATGATCGTCATCGGGTATTCATTTGTAAATTTCTTTATTGTAATAAGGTTTTTGTTGATTTTATGAACGTCATAAAAGAATTTTTAAGAGTTCAAGTGGAAACGTTGAAGAACCGCGTTTCCATCTTACTCTCAAAACAGAAGATGCTGCCTCAGGGAAGGAAGATCTGGATGTTACCTGTTCACGGGAATGGCTGCAGG